CAAATCATGGTCCATTGTGCATTTTAGATAGAACTGGCTACATTGCAAATATTTTCTACTCCGCAGCTTGCCTTTTAATTCATGTTTTAGTAAACAACTTTTTAATTTTAATCCCACATATACTTTTTTCCTGATGGTTAACATTTTTTACAATTACAAAGTGACCTGCATATCCCAAGCTTAGGAAGATGCTCTAAGTGTCTCCTAAACAGAAATATGTATCTACAAGCATGTAGAATTGAATTTCCACACATAACAGGACAGCAGGGCCATGACGAGGGCTTGCTTTTGTGCAGATACCTAATTGGCACAGCGCTCACTGAAGAACATGTTTCCTTGTATTCTGCCATCTTTGTCGTGGATGAGTGGAACCACATAGGGTTCCTTCCACCATGCCCAGCTCCTGCAAAGGGCAAGCCTCCCACAGGTGGTAGATGGCAGGGCAGTCGATGTAGGGACTCTGAAAAGCTGACTAGGTGCCGGTGGCTGTATGGAGTCTGGGCTGAGGACACAGTGGTGTTTGTCCTGATCTTTTTGCAGATAGCAGAATGGCTTACGCTTCGTGGCTGTATGGAGAGTCCACATCTCTGCAGCCTTATTGTAAAAGTCTCATGATCCTGAGAGATTCACATGCACCTGTGGGTTGCTCAGAACCCACTCATTGTCCCTACTACCCCAGCTTCTTTCCCTACCTGGGTAGCCAGCCATGGGGCAGGACTGGTTTCCATGCTTCACACACTCTCCTAAGGTAAGGACACGCCTTTGTCCTTACACTAAGGTGAGTTCAGCACCCAGTGCCACACCATGCTTGACCCTGTGGACATTGTGGTGCCACTTACGCTCCTAAGAGGCTGTAGTCAGCCCTGAGGAACTTCTCTATGGGCACTCGGAGACACCATCCCAGAGTGTAGTACAGGAAGCAGTCAGAGTTTCTTTGACAAGAAACCACCATGCCCCTGCCTCTGGGGGATGAGAGGGAATGCGGCTGGCCAAATGCATGGATAACAGAATGCTGCAGCCACACAGGCTGAGACTGGTGATCCCCAACTCCTTGGGGATTAGCTGGCCTATGTGCACATCTGATCAGAGCAGAGCCCCACAGGAGATTCCGTCCCAGGAATCTTGGTATGGAGGACCCCTGTCCCTGCAATGCTCAGCCCAGTCCATCACGAGGCTTCCAGAGGACAATGCGCCTCAGCAGCTGGGCAGATCTAAGTGCCCACCTCCCACAGTGAGGGAAGCCACTGGGTACAGGTGGGGGTTCCACCTCTGCCTAGGGGGCAGGCAGGCACGTGGGGACCTAGAGTTGTGGGACAAGTGCATTTACAATGTGAGCATTATTTTCTAGTTAGCCCCACACACCGACAGCAGGAACACAGAGCCCATTGAGAGAACAGCTAATGCCAAGTCCCAGGGCTTCCTACCTCTGCCTCCTGCACTATGGAGGGTGCCTTCTGCTCTATATTTATGCTTAATTTATTGCTCATCCTGTTTTCCATCTGCCATGTGCATCACAGATACAGCCATTTAGCAAAACTGTAACAGGGTCGTCTTCATCTGTCTAATTATCCCAGCCTGTGAAATGGAGCTTCAGCTCCATCACCAAAGAGATTATTGATATTGCATAGACTGCCTGTACAGCGAGAGGATTAACCAAAATCAGTCAAAACATTGTATCAGTGGGGGACCATATTTAAAGCAAAATCTGCCAGCCTGCTGCCAGACAGGCGGGGGAGTCCCTGCTGAGCACTTGCAGTATGTTTAATTGGGGAGCCACTGCACACCCACCCTAAGTGGAACTCATTTTTTAGGTCAGGTCCAACTTTAATTAACCGTCTCAATGAATGTACCGATTTCCAGGCTGTGCATATGATACCACAGCAGAGAGCAAGCCGAGAACTATTTAACCTAATGTGTAAATAGTGTTTTGTGTATAAACAAAGTAGCATCCTGGCTACAGGCAGAAAAAAAAAAAAGAAACGGTTTTGTTCTAAAGTAACTCAAGATCAAAGCTGGGAAAGATCTTCTTGTATACACCTAGGAATGGTCAGATGTGTTGCTTTATAGAAACAAGCTCATTTAAGGCAGTGTTCAAGCAAGACACCTGACAGCAGGAGAGGACCCCCCCCCCCCGAGTCCCCAAAGTCCTGAGCACACAGTAAGTGGCTCCCAAGGAGCATGGACACCATGTGCACCTAGGTATGGAGGTGGCAGTGTAAGGTGTGCAAATCTTAAACGCTCAGCACAGCGCTTTTCATGAGGACCAGAAGGTTCCCCCCGCCGTAAGAACAATTCAGAGCCAGGCATGGTGGCGCAGGTCTGTAATCCCAGCATGTGAGAGGCTGAAGCAGGAGGATCTCTGGAGCTCAAGGCCAGCCTGAGCTACATAGCAAGACCTTGTCCCATAAAAAATACTTAGCAGTTCAGAAAGCAGTTAGAGGCAGTCAGGGCAGGGCGTGGGAGAACTTGTTCCACACACCCCTCATTAAGTGCAAATTTTGAGGTACAGTGCATTTGTGGTTTCATTAAGGGATGTCCAAAGAAACAAAGGACCCAAAGGAAGATTACTGGAATGACAGCAGGAGTTCTCTGTGGCTGATGGATTTGTTTTGTTTCCTAAACTGTCTACGATGAACATGTAATTTTAAAGACTTAAATTAGCGGCAGCATGAGATGCTTAGGCAAGGCAAGCGCGTCCTGTGCACAGTGAATAGGAGGGCTTGCTCCACTGTGAAAGAGTTGCCGGCCCAGATGAAACACTGTAACCAGAAAAGGCTGCAGCTAAACTCCTCCCCCACCCTGCCCCCTATGGACTTGATTGTAATTCTATATCCCCATCCTTAAGGACCTGTGCGCCAATGAGATATCTGTGCATCTCTAATGGCATTAGGGTGCTGCCCTAAGCTTAGGCTATTTAGATTCCCCCACGCCACGTGTCCGAGGGAGTTCGCCAGAGAGAGTTCGCCAGAGAGAGAGAGACCGGCGCGCCAGTCTCCACTCCCCGTGTCCCCGGAGAGACCACAGCCCGCCCCGGGCTCGGTGCAGAGATGCTGCGCCCCGGGGCCCGCGGCGGCGGGGGGGCCCCCTCCCCGCATTCCCAGAATAAAGCCACCGCTGACCACTACTTTCGCGGCCGACCGCTCCATTCCTCCCACGGACTTCTCTCTCCGCCTCCCCCTTCTCCCAGACCTAACACACTGCCAGGATCCCTTACAGCTCCACGAGCTGCTGGTGTCTCTGAAGAATGAGGGGCATGTGAAGGGAGGTGCCCAAAACGTGTTCAGAAGAGATCAGTGTTCAGAAGAACTGGTTCAACGGCAGAACGTAAGTTAGAAATAAGCCCCTCCTTTCAGAGACACCCTCAAGACCTGAGGTGGTTATGGTCAGGGCACCAGGCCTAAAGGAAGGACATTGTTCAGGCGCAGGGCAAGGGGCCCAGGCTCTAGAGCAAGTGTGGGGGCTCTGGCACACACAAGTTTGCAGGAGACTGTCTACTACAGAGGAGAGCAGGGGCAGAGTCTGAAGAACAGGACCTTCCCTTACTGATGAGACTGCAGACCTACATGGCTTCTCACCATCTCCTAGCCCCTTACCAGAGTCAGGCCAAATTCCAACTCCACCCCCTTTCTTTGGAGTCAACAGTCTTGCCATGTTGCCCTGGCTAGCAACAGGCTAGTCCTCAACTCCTGGACTCCAGCGATCCTCCTGCCTCTGCCTCTGAGTTTTTAAAAGCTCAAATTAATTCTGCAGTTGGGCCAGGTTGAGACCTGCTATTGCCCTCTGGATGGCATCCTCCTGGGTTCTGCAGCCCATATACTTCTGGGCACAAGCACTATGCTTTAGCTGACGTCTCTTTGCATCCCTCTATACAGGGAGCTAGAGGAGGAGAGTGGCCTGACTGTGGACACGTTGCAGAAGGTGGGCCACATCACCTTCGAGTTTGTGGGCGTCCCCGAGCTGATGGATGTGCACATCTTCCGTACTGACCGCGTGCAGGGGACACCCAGGGAGAGTGATGGTGAGTCCTACATCCTGTTCACCACCAGTGGGAGGTGGGGGGGAGCACCTGGTCTCTTGCCTGGCCCATCTCACAGAGACATTAGGCACAGGCTGAGCCTCACAATTGGGGTCACAGAGCACACCACTTTCCTGTTCTGGGAAATAAAGGAAAACGGTCAGCTTAAGCTGTCCTCCAAGATTACTCAGCATCACCTCCCAGAGGCCATTTCCATCTGCGGCAAACACTAGCCTGTTACCTTTATGCCTCTTGATACAGAAATGCGCCCTCAGTGGTTCCAGCTGGACCAGATCCCCTTTGGTGACATGTGGCCTGATGATAGCTACTGGTTCCCACTTCTGCTTCAGAAGAAGAAGTTTCAAGGATACTTTAAGTTCCAGGACCAGAACACCATCCTGGACTATTCCCTGCATGAGGTGGATGACATCTAGCATGAGCTGCTGGTCCCAGCTGGGTCTGGCTGCTGGGCAGCCACAGACTGTCAGTCCAGCTGGGCTCAGGACGCCATGGTCAGGGCTATGTCTTCTCTTTTAGAAGATGATTGGACAGAAAGGGAAATAAAGGTCTTGCTTTTTTAATGGTCTTCACCAGGCACTGGCACAACCCACCCACCCCGGCCCACAGGAAGCCACTACTGTGCTGGGCTGACCTTCCCTGCTGGACAGACATGTGAGCAGGGAGGGGACAAGGCAGACCAGGTCTCTGCCTAGTGCTGCATGTTGCCCTCTGCCACCACCCCTTTTATGGCTCTTCCCCTTTCACAGTAGGGGACACTGAGACATGGTGAAGGGCTCAGGACCAAAGCCCAGGTGTACGGCCTCCCAGGCTTATTCCCTTCACTGCCTTTTCCTTCTCTGGGGGAGCCACCAGAAAAAAGGGGAAACAGGAAAACACTCACTACACAAAGAACCTATAGCTTGGTCCAACTTTCAGACATTTAACAACTTCACAGAGGGTTGTGGATAAAACTACAGAACGCAGGTTGTGTGTAAACAGTTCCAGTTTATTGGGTGTGGCAGTAAGGATTCCTGCAGCCATGGAAAGTGCTTCTTACAGAACAGCTGGCTTGGGCCACACAAGAAAAGGAACAGTGCAGATTTCAGTTCTGGGTCCTACACAGGACCACAGCAATCCTTTTCTTTTATGGCCTTAAGCCCAGCAACACACCACCAGAGCTTGCCGGGCCTGACAGAAATGTGCCCAGCACTTCCTGCAGGTAGTCACCTCCCTCTGGCCACAGGGCCATCAGCCAAGACCACAGCTGAACACCTCCTCAACCTTCCTCACCAGGACAACACGACATTGCATATCATGCCTCATCTCCTGCGAGGATGGTGCCCAGCATCCTTCCATCGGGCCAGGCCATAGTTGGATACACAGGCTGAGCAGCAGGAGAGCAGAAAGGGAGTTGGGACCTCCACCCTGGAGTTAGGAGCAGGTTTCCTGGAGTCAAAGCTGAGCAGACTCTGCCAGCCTGGGCCAGGGGTGCTGCACAGGTCCCTTCCTAAAGCACCTAGGGGTGGGACATGGCAGACAGCAAGTAAGGAAGCTTCTGTCCACACATACTCTTAGGGCACAGGAGCTCCCACAGGGCATGCAGACTGTCATCCTCTCCATCCCACTGCTGTGAGAGGCCACCAGGTACACAATCATATCACTCTCACCCCTGGTCCCTTGCCAGTTTTTAAAAGATAAAAGTTTGTTTTGGCCAGGCATGGTGGTATACACATATAATTCCAGCTGTTCACGAGGCTGAGGCAGGAAGATCAAAAGTTTGAGGCCAGTCTGAACAATTTAGCAAGACCCTCTATCAAAGAGGGTACAATTTTTAAAGACCAGCTGAGGGTGTAAATCTTTGCTTAGCACGTCCCAGGTGCTGGATTCACTCCCCAGTTTCTCTGTCACACACAGAGTACATGTTGAAGGCATGCTAGGAATGTCTTTTGCCAACAGCCCATGTGAGAAGTGCGTGCCTCCCCAACATGGAGACATGCCCAGGCCCCAGGGCCTCCGCTCAGCAGCATGACAGAAGGCCTTAGGGTCAGGGCTCCAGGAACAGTCGGGAGAGTAGCTCAGGGCCACACTGCGAAGGGACGATGTAGGCATGAGCCACCCTGAACCACAGGACAGTCTGCTCTCTGGCAGCCCTATAGCAGGAAGGCATGGGCAGTCTGCACATCCACATGGCAGGAGCAGCACTGAATCACAGCTATCACATCCTCCCAGTGGATCCCACGCAGCTATCTACCAGAATAAGGTGGCCCGGATTCACTCTGGCCCACAGGGCTCAGAGCCAGCCAGGCCTTCCTCCACCCTGAGAAAGTCACTGGGTAGCAGGCAGGAATCACAAGATGGGAGAACTTCAGAAATGTTGCATGCCTCTTCCCAGTCTTTCCCTGGCCATCAAGGACAGGGCTCAGTGACACCTGAGCCAAACAAATACCCTACATGTCCAGTTTGGAAGGAATGAGAACAGCCATCACTCAGACCTGACCCCACAGAGCACGAGACCAGCTCCAGCAGGCAAGAGGGGTCTTCAGAAAACGAAAATGGTTGCAAAGGCTCAGCCCAATGATGCTGCCCTTCAAAGCCCAGCCAGCAGTCTCCCTACCCCACACCTGCCCCCTGGCCCACCTCTTAAGCCTCAGTGTCCCACAGTCTAGCCTCCAACAGTGGCCACCAAGAATATTAAAGAAACAGCATCTTCCAGCCTCAGGCAGGCAGGCAGAGCCTCCTTGCCATCACCCCAGGGATCTCAGTGCTCCTGATCTTACATTCAAGAAGCCCTCAGCATCATGTGTGTGCAGAGGGCAGCTCGGGACGTGCAGCCTGCAGGCAAGCCCCAGCCCAGTCTCTGAAGACACACGCAATGCGCTAGAGCCTTTCTGCATCAGCTGGCCTCCCTGCCTTGCCTTCTGTTCTGATGCACATAGCAGTGGCCCAGCCAGCTGTGCTGGGGCCCCAGTCCACAGTACAACCTTTCCCCATCAGCGACAGGCCATATACTTGTCTGATAGCTACCTGCCCATGGGACAGTCCTGCCTGCCCTTTCCCCTACTTGGCTGACCCCTGCTCCAGGTGAGAGCCCACTGGACTGCTGTGTATCTAAGCACTCCCTAGGCATGACCTGCAGTATGGGAATAATCCTTACCCCCCACCCAACTCTAGCCCTCTGGAAAAAATCCCAGAGAATTTCATCTTTTCCAATGGGCCCACAGACAACCAAGCTGGTCAAGGGTACAGCCTCCCACCCAGGAATGGGACAGAGGCAGCTGGCTGTGCCCCAATGGCCCTGGACAACATGAGCTCCTCTGCTTCAGTCCCTCCAGGCCCCAAGGGGCAGCAGCCGCCATCCAAAGGGAATCAGCCAGGGACACACCATTTGCAAAGAGGTTTTAGTGAGTCACAGGGAGCTCTGCTGTGGCCTTGGGCACTAGTGGGGACATAGGCTGTCCTCTGCAGGGGACCGTGGTGGAGTCAGCGCACTGTGGGGTCCAGAAAAGAGACAGCTGAGCTTCGGTTTCAGGTCATTCCACACCTTGCTCATCTGCAGAAGAGAAAGACCCCCAATGAGAAAGGCACCACCTCGCCTACCTGAGACATGCCTGCTGCAGGTCTGGAGCCAGCAGAGGGCCCACGGTGAGTCACCCTTCCAGCCCCCCTGGGCCATGACCACAGCTACTGCAAGTGAGGGCATATCAGCCCATCCCATCCCTCAGTGGGGAACCACTCATCCCCAGTCCCACATACAGGACCAAAAGGCCATTATCTGATTCATACAGAATTTTAAGAAATGAGATTGCCAGCACTAAGTGAGGCTGAGGCAGGAGGATCAAATGGGCAAATTTGATTCAAAATTTTAAAAATTTAAAAAGGGATTAGGAATGCAGCTGAATGGTAGAGCACCTCTGAGTTCAGAGGAAGGAAGGAGTGGGAGTTCACTCCCAGCACTGGGTCCCACGGCTTTGTAACTGGCCTTCTGCCTGGTCTAGCAGGTCTAAGCCCAAGGCCACATCCACCAAGTGAACAAGACAGAGGACCTAATGGCCTAGCAAGCACTTTCACATCTAAACACGGTGGGCATCAGGGAGGCCTGGCCATGAGCTGGGGGTGGAGACTCCTATGTGACAGGAGGGCTCATGTGACAACAAAAGAGCAGCGTGTGGGATGTGTCAGTGAGGTCCAGCCACCAGTAAGATCCAGTCTCAGTGCTGGGAGACAAGATTAGCGAGTCACTGGCCATAACTGCTCACAGTTCCATTCATGACCACATTCTGGCTGAATGCAGCTCTCCCACCGCCAGTCAAAACAGGCCTTCACTGATAGCACCAGCCACCCAGATGACCAAGCCTGGACCAGGTCACCAAGATGTCACCTTGACTTCCTGACCTTTCTACTCTCCTTCCATGGTGTCAATCTGACTGCCTTTGGGATTTGCTCTATGACTGGTGAAGCATAGTTCTGGGTGCGTCTGGTGGTCACAGAGGTGTGGCCCTGGAGTCTCGGTCTAGTCTGGTCCCCGGCCCTTTCCTCGCTGGTGTTCTTCTCCTGATCTGCCTTCTGGCCTCCATGAACTAAGCAGCTTTTCTCTGCCACATCCTTCTGCCATGAGGTATCATGCACAGAAACCATAAGCAAATTAAACCTCTTCTCCTTTAAGCTGTAGATGTCAAGTATTTTATCCAGGGACAGGAAAGCTAACACAGCTTCCTCTCCAACCCACTGTTACTGCCTCCAGTGAGGCCTGCATTTCCCAAACTGCCTGAAGGCACCCCCACATCCCTATAAACCTACAGAGCATCATGACGTATTTCACCAGGGACAGAAACACTGCTCATAAAAATACATGGAGGCTGTGACCTTCAGAGAGAATTAATGGACAAAATGCAAAAATGTCCTTTGGCCTAGGGATGCTATGAAAACTACCAGGCACTGTACGTACCAGGAACTCCAGTAGGACGAACTTCTGCCTCGGGCTGAGATGACTGCTCGCTTGAACAGTGGCGCTCCTGCCACGGGGCATCCTACTCTCAGCATAGATCCCTGAGACCTTTCCCCACTGAGGCAGCCCTGCAACTCAGCTCCATATATCTGGCACAGACACCCCAGGCGGTCCTAAGCTCTATGGCAGGGCTAGACTGACTGCTGACTGGTCAGTTCTAATTACTCCCAACTGGTTTGGCGACCTCCATCTATCACCCCACTCCAACCAGTGCGGTGAACTTTCTGAACTGTAGGTCTGAGTTCATGTGACTTATTGTCCCCTGATCTCCCGGGGCTCTAGACAAGCAATGGCCAATGTATGAGGTCCCTACTCACTGCCCTACTTCTCTGTGCATCCTGGCTGACAAAGACACTAGAATCAGCTTGTGCCCAGAACCAGTCACAGATGCCCAGGCCAATCTCAGGAAACTGGCAAAGCCACACTGTTTGCCATTTTTCCATAGGAAAACTGAGCTGCAGAGGTCAGGAGAAACTGCAGCATTCATGCAGAAGGACTTGAGAACAAGATAAATGAACTCTGAGTCTGGCCTCCTCCCCTGTTTCGATGGGCTGGAGGCGGCCACACACAGGTGTATCTTTTTAGGAGGTGACTATGTTCCCAGTGCCAGCAGAAGGCATTACTGATCACTTGAAAAGGAAGATAGCCAGGGACCATCAAAATGAGGAACTGTGGGGGCTACAGTAGGGCTAGGAAAGAGGAACAGAATGAAAAAAGAAAAAAAAACCAGCTTTCTGACTGTACTGGGAGATTGAAGCCAGAGCACTGGCACTGAGTGACGTCTCTAACTCTTTTTATTTTCTATTTTGAGAAAGGGTCTTGCCAAGTTCCCAGGCTCAAACTTTTCAATGCCTCATCCTTCCAGAGTGCTAGGATTACAGGCATGTGCCACCATGGCTGACTATCAATCATTTTTAAGTATTGCCTCAGTTCACAAGTATTCTAGGCTGTCTGGAGATGGACAGACACATGCTGAGAAGGGTGAACAAAGAACCAGAGATGCACCCTGGAGTCCTCAACTCTAGGTCATTCACACCCAGAGACTGTCCCTCAGGACAGTTCACAGCGTCATCTCTCTAGGACTGGAGGAAGCTGAACACAGGTTTCCACAGACATAACCAGTTGCACATACTCCTAACCATTAAACCTGTCTCTCAGCACCCTTCCTCTCCACCATTTGCCTCCTCTGACTTCTCCAGTCCTTCTGGAAGGGAAGAAACTATTCGTTTCTGGGCTCTCTCTGCTCCTCCCACTAAGAACCATGAGAACAATTCCAGAATTAATTATCATTCTGGCCACAGAACGGAGACTGGCCACAGACTAGGAGATCTGAACAAGAACTGTGTTTTAAGGCCCCAGCTGACATAAATAACTTTCCGAGGTCTCTGGCTGTAGGGGCTTGTAGTGGTTGCAGGACTGGGGAAGGGCAGCTGGCAACAGGAAGGCACTGGCACAGGCAGGGAGGGGCAGGTGGGCCTCACCTCCTTGTGTCCCTGAATCTGAGAGTTCACGAAGGCCCCAAGGATATGGGAGGTGAGGGGAAGGTACACGTGGACCAGCTGCGTTTCCTGATGCAGGCAGTACAGAGAGAAGTAGTTGCGAAGCTCCATGGTCTGGATCACATTCTCTTGCTGCAAGGAGAAGACAGAGCCCCCTATGCTCCTGGCCCAGCAGAGGCCGGAAAGAGGGGCCTGAGGCCCACATACACTGGCTGCATGAGCCCAGGCTCAGCCAGCTCTGCATAGCCACTACAGCAAAACCCCAAGGAACCAAGGCCAGACCCATAGCACTGCGAATGGGAGGGAAGCATGTCCCAGGGGCCCCACCCCTCCCACACCCACCTCCACGATGCGGGACTCAAGCTGCTCCACAGACTCAGGCTCACAGTTCTGCACGGCAGCACTCATCATCTGCCTCTTCATCAGGCCATACTTGTGCAAGGCACGCTGGTGCTTGTGCAACACACCCTTCTCATGTCGCTCGCACAGGTCCTGCAGAGAGGAACATGCATTTGCCACTGCACCTACTCAGAGGGACCCAGAACCAAAGAAATGTGAAGCCTTCTCACTGTACCAACTTTAGGACTTCCCCCCTTCCACTGAGAAAGCACCAAGCTCTACCAGAACAGGAGGTGGCGGCCAGGACACGGACGCAATCAGGGGTTCTGGAAAACAGGCTGTTCACACCTCACTCAACAAACAGCCAAGGAGCAGAGTGGTTCTGATTCAGGCCAGGCCCTGCTCAGAGCCACTGACACATGCTAGTTTGTGTGGGGACTCACAGAACAGAACACCCTAGGCCCCAAAGCAAAACCCTATGTACAGTAAGCCTACGTTGAAAGGGGCATGGACTCGAGAGCCAGGATAGTGCCAGACCTCAGACTACAAATGCTACTCAGTCTCAGACAGCAAGTGACTGGCCAGCAGAAGACTGAGAAGCCCTGAAGACAAGACTCACTGGCATCAATGCGTGGTTCCTAAATAATCACAATCAGAAACCTCAAAGGTGTCAGCACCAGGCTTAGAAGCCATGTGCTACCACCTTATTCAGAGGTAGCAGAATGAAATGCCATCTAGAACGTTCTCTGTAAGCACTGGGCTGGCCCACTTTGAGCACAGCAACAAGAAGAGTCCTTCAGTGGAAGGAAGCCCTGGCTCCCCAAAGCCATCTAGGACAATTCATCCTGCACAGATGCTCTGCTCAGAAAGCTTCCCTGCCTTGAGCTGAGGGTAACCTGGAAAGTCCACCTGCTCCTAGGTGAACTCCCTGCTGGGCCAGGCATCCAGATTCTGAAGGAGAACCTGACTTTCAGTCACACACACACACACATCCATAGCTTCTCATGCCCAGGGCAAGCCACCTCCCCCCATTCTCAGCAGGGGGAAAGCTGCAAGGGTGCAGGCCAGCTGTGAGGAGATATCAGCAGGCCATAGAAGATCCATCTTCCCTTCAAGGCCCTAGCCCTCCACTCCTTGTGGTTCTTGGAGCTATACCCTTGAAGGATCACAGGGTGATCCTCAAAAGCTCTGCCCCTGCCCATGGAGCAACCCAGACTCACTTTATAGGCCTGAAGCAAATCCAGGAAAAGGTTCAGCTTCTCCACCACATCATTCTCTTCTTGTTTGCCCTAGGAAACAAAGATGAGTTATTCAACACAGGCTCACACAGGACTGGAGACTGCTGGGGGACTCTCCCGCTACTGTGCAAGGCCTGGCAGACCTATCTTACGAGAGCTACCAGCCCATGCTGCAAAAGGGCTCCCTCTCTGCATGACAGCCCCTACTCCAAGACCTTCTGGCTCTGTAGAGCCAAAAGGTTCCTGCCACTTAGTCTCACACCTCCAGCAACCTCTGATGCTAGCCAACAAGCTCCAAGGAATCAGAGGTGTATACTATAGCTGAGCATTGTGGTATACCCTGTAATCACAGCACTCTGGCCAGAGGCTGAGGCAGGGCAAGCCCAAATCAAGCCCAGCCTGAAAACTTGGTGAGACATAGTCTAAAAATTTAAAAAAAAAAAAAAAAATGGCTGTGATACAGTTCAGTGTGCCCCGGGTTCAATTCCTACTATCGCACACAGACAGAAAAAGAAAGACCCATGCTGCCATCACTATAGAGAGATCAGCCCCTATTCCAAGCCTCACCTGACTTGCTGGTATATTTACATCTCCTAATGGGCATGGGGAGAACAAGACCAGTACAAGTAAAACCAGAATTAGAAAGATAGCCCCAGGATGCCTTCATTGTACAGCAGGGGAGGGTTGGAATTCCAGCTGATCAAAGTCCTAAACTAGTTTCATGTAAAAATTCTACTTCAATACACTCAAAGACAGTGAGGAATACTCAGGAAATAGAACTTCTCCAGACAGCAAATCTCAAAAAGGAATCTGTGAAACATCAAAGAACTACTGAGCTAGGGAAAACCTCACATGACAAACTCTCCACTACAACAGAAGCCTGGGCCTCATCTCCTTCATCAAGCTGGAAGTACAGAATGAGAAAAGGTCTGGAAAAAAAAGGGCGTGACTTTCACCTCATTCTCTGAGAAGCCAAGATCTCAGCACCCTGCTGGAGGCTCCCTGCAGAGAGTGGCCAGGGCTGATGCCTTGCCACAGGAATGATTTGGCTTTTGTTTACATATGAGCCTGGAGTTACATGTTTTAATGATCTAGTCCAGCCCCTTTGTATTTCATTGGTGGGGAAACTGAGGCCCAGACAACAACGTAACTGGAGCCAAGTCACAGCACAGACACTGCAAGTACAGATCCCTGCCCCAAGAATCCTGCCTTATCCAGGCAAACTCTGGCTCCTCATCCTTGGTCTTCTCCACTTTGGAAAAGGGGCACCCACAGACCCAGAGAAGGAACAGACCCAGTGCAGACAAAGAAGGCACCAACACCACCCTAACCTCAGTTTCTAAATGGAATACATGGGCACCAGGAACAGAAGAAGAAAAAGACTCCCCAGACCAGCAGAGATCAAAATCTCTCTTCTGTGTGACACAATATCTGCATCTGCACACCCAACCCCCAGCAAGCAAAGCCCCCAGATGGCCAGCAGGTGGATCCAACACACAGACAATGGAGTGCCACAGCCCAGGCAGGGACATTAATTTATTTATAACTATCTACTTACAGACTATGTCCCCCAAAATAGACAAGCTGATACTCTCAAAATCAGGTGGCAGCTTTATAACATAAAAGCCCCAGATGAGCCCTTTAAGTGTGACATAACTACCACAGCTTCAAATGAGTCCCCAACAACTACCAGGTTCTTTGTAGATTTATAAATACAGATCCTGCTGAATAGCTGCAGCATGCTGGAGTTTGAGTGTCAGTGTGAGGGGAAGAGGAAGGCTCTCTGGGTGTCGAGTGGGAGGAGGAGGGAGAGGGAGGCTCTGGATGTCACTGGGAGGAAGGCAGAGCCTCTTGATGCTGGGAGCTTAGTTATTACTCTGATGAGTTCAGTCACCATGTTATTCTGTACAACGGGAACTATCTGGCTACCCAAAAATATGCCCTGAAGCCCATGACTATAGTTTCAAGGACAGATTCCACATCAGGCAATCCAGCAAGTCCCTGTCTTGAAAAATAAGAAGGGCTTGGGCCGGGGATTTGTCTCAGTGGCACAAGTGCATGCCTGGCAAGCACAAGGTAATGAGTTCGATCCCCAGTAACATTTTAAAAAATGTAGCTCAGTAAAAAGGTCTTGTGTTCATGGGCTGGGGATTTGGCTCAGCGGCAAAGCAGGCAGTCGTGAGTTCGATCCTTGGTACCGATAAAAAACAAAAAGACAAAAAAAAAAAAAAAAAAAGGTCTTGTGTTCAATCTGCAGAACCACAAAGGGGGAAAAATTACCTTCTAGTCTCCAAAGTCAACACTCAAGAAACTAGAACCCAGAATGCTTCCGCCCCTCACAGCCTTCTCCCAAGCACACCTGGCTCATGCAGAGTGGCCCGGAACAGATGGGAACAGGCAGAACCTCCTCAGAGGGATTGGTGACCACTCAGAGCTCAAAACTGTGAGACCCACTGAGGGACAGCACGTCCTGCACAGGGGACAGATGCCATGAACGAGGCCACTCACCTGTTGCGCAGCTTTGTCTGCCAGCACTGCAAACTCCACAGATAGGCCCTTCATAGCCTGCTTTAGTGAGGCCCAGGTGCTCAGGTGCAGGGTGGCCCAGGAGGGCAGTGGGGTCATGTCAGACCCTAAGGCACTGTGGGAAGTGAAGCACACAGGCAGAACATACTCACGAGCATGTCCTGCCCTCAGCTCAGCTCCTAAAGGACAGCCAGGGAACACAGAGAACAGGGAGGAAAGCAGGAAGCAGGGCGCCACCCCAGGTGCAGTTGAGACAGGAGAGAACATCCTGTGCCCCTGAAGACAGAGGGAGCCCTGCCAACCCCAGGTGGCTCCTTCTCCAAGATTATGATACGTGTCACCATCTAATCCCTACACAGGGAACACCACAGTGTGGGAAAGTAGGCGAGAATGCATATGGCCCAGCTGAAATTCCCAGCTTTTCCTCCTGCATATGATACCCTACTTGTCTAGTCCACTTCCTGCCCATGTGTAGGACTGCCATTCCTTCAGGAAACTTGGTGTGACCATGGCGCACCACCACCGGCAGACTCTGTCACCAGAGACCCAAGAGCCACTTGCCTCAGTTCCTTCCCGAATATGAGAAGATCAGCTGCATTGTCAATGGCCCTGGATGCAATTCGCTCGGCCCGGTCTCGCAGCTTGTAGAAGCTGTTGTACAGGTTTCGAATAAGCTCCCGGCTCATGGCAAACTGCGTCTGGATGTCAGTGGGGAGGAAGTCCTGCCAGGTAAGAGGAGAGACCACAGCAGCCCGAGTGTGAGACAGGCTGGGCCTGGTTTCAGGGCCACTGACAGAGTGTCAAGCAAGAAGAATGGGCAGTGGATCTCGCCTGATTCCTGGTGCACAGCAGAGGCACAACACCACCGTGTAGGGTTGGAATTACTGTATCTTATTAAGAGGAGGAAAAATACTCAAGAGCAGTAACCTACCTTGGCCCTAGTAGCCAGCTTACAGTTCAGGAATTCATCCCCAACACCCTGGGCTGCTTCCCTAAGCTTGTTCTGCACATCCTGCAAGAGGAAGGAGACAGTTGCACTCTGTTCCCAAGGCACAAATGCTGACACCAGGCAATCGCGGGGCCGATGTGTCAGCAAAAGCCAGTGGTGTCCCTTGTGAAGGAAGACCCACTTCCTTATGTCTGCTTTGCCCTCAGAATTCCAGAATCCCTTCGGCATGCTCAGATTTTCTTCAGTTAAACGTTAACGACAGGAAAGCCTGACTTACTGACAGGCACATGACCAAGGGCCCAGCCCTGGTCCAAAAATAAGGCTTTTCTCCAAAATCAGACTCCATCCATGAGTGAGGGGCAACACTGTCGCCACAATGAGGGACACCACGATTTGTCAAACCCTTCAAGAGTCAAAAAGAGCAGGAAGGGAACCCAAGACTTCTTCCTGTGGACAGACTTCAAGCCAGGGAGCCAAGGCCTGGGGCAGCTGGCAGGCAGAGGAAGGGTAGGCCCTGATCTCGAAGCCTGGCATTCTGAACAGAAGCCTCCTGGGCAAAGCCAACCTTGAATACATAAAGAGTATCGAGGAATTTCAGAATTTCAGGTGTACTCTGAGGATCATCGGCCTCAAGTGTCTCATTTTAACAACAACAACAAAAACTGAAATACTACCCACCCCACACTTATAATCCCACCACTGTGGAGGCTGACGCATGAGGACCCCAAATTTGAGCCCAGCCTGGGAGACTGAGCAACTTACCAAGACCCTGTCTCAAAATTAAAAAAAATAAATAAATAAAGGACCAGGGATGTAGCCCAATGTAAATGCCCTGAGTTCAAGGTTCAACCCCCTAGAGATCTAGAGAGACAAGATTTAACCACAAAGAGATCTAGAGAGACAGAGAGAGAAACAGAAAGAATGAAATAGAAGACAGAAAACCCAGGTGTGGTGTCATATGTCTGCAATCCCAGGACTTGGGAAGCTGAGGCAAGAGGATCATTGTAAGTTTGAGGCTAGCCTGGGCTACATAGAGAGTTCAAAACCAACCTGAATTACATGGCAAGACCCTTTGGAAAGAAAAGAACAAAACAGAAAAAAAAGACAAGATTCCAGGTGCCTAGAATCCCAGCACTCGGGAGGCTGAGGCAAAAGATCACCTGTGGTACGTAAGAAAGTTCAAGGCCAGCCTGTACCACACCCTGTCTCAAAAATAAAAGAGAGAAGAAGGAAAGGAAGAGAAGAAAGGGGGAGGGAGGAAAGGGGAAGGGGAAGAGGAAGAGGAAGGGGAGGCAGGCAGGCAGAGGTCCAAAGAAATTACAGGGAACACTCTATCCATGGAAAGGCAGAGGACAGCTGAGTTTAATGGCACAGAATGGAGGTGTCAGTCCCTCTCTGCATTCCACCTCCTTATCTTCTGCCTGGAGCAAAGCAGCTCCTAGGTCTTATCACATCCCTCCCCTGGTGGATCAAGAGTTCTGCTCCACCCTGGGGTCACAAGGCACATTCCCTGCTGAGGCAGAGGATCACAAGTACCTAGTGACCGTCTCTTATGGGTTAACAGGCATCTGGAGTGTCACGCAGGGAACTTCCTACAGAGGTCAGAGGAATGGAAGCAATGGTCAGGCAGACTCTGCCTGGGTCCTGCATCCCCTCCCTGCAGCCAGTAAGGGGTAAACTCTGCCCATGTCCTGCATCCTCAGCCCTGTAGCCAGGTATGGGGCAGGGGTAGGTGGCTCCCAGTGGGCTATGCTTCTGTCCTGTGTCTTCCACCCTACAGCCTTGTAAGGAATAGGGTGTAGGCAGCCCCCAATGGACTCACCTGTGTCCTATATCCCTGTCCTATAGCCTGGCAAGATGCTGGGGGACTCTGCTTGTGTTCTGGATCCTACCCTATAAGCTTGGTAAAGGGTGGTGTACAGCTGCCCCCAATACCCATCCAAGAAAGGGTCCCTACAACAGGAGAATCCAGTGGTTCCTTCCTGCTGGAGACTCCCCTTCTGTACCCAACCCTGGCAGCAAGAAAGCTCCATCCCAGAACCTCCCTGCCTGAAAGGGCTGGCAATACCCCCCCAACCCAAACATATACTGGGAACAGAAGCCTGGCTTCATCTCTCAGCTCCCACGGGGCTGTGGACAAGAAAGAAAGGAACTGCTGATCTAACTCCTGGCAAATGTGCGTGGGGATGACATTTCCCAGACAGGGATCTACATCCCATCTCTGCTGAGGTGGCTCAGCTGTTTCTTCAGTGGTTCTCAGTCAAAAGGGGCCTTTTTCTTCTTTCAGTAAATACTTATTCACTTTTGCAGTCTCTAGTTCATCCAGAGACACTCCAAACCATCTGCTCTCTATATATCAGCTCTCAATCCCCAAAGCGAGCAATTCCACACCATACACGAAATCCTCCATAGTCAGAACCAATGATGCCTTTAAAAATCATAGCTGAGCTGCCACTTAGAAAGGAAGGAAGCCATGCATTGTCAATCACAATGAAATGAACTCTTTCCAGGGATCCATATAGGAGGTTCAAGACAGAGGAGAGGGAAAAAGAAAGATGACTCAAGAAGAAGAATGAACCCCAGGAACTTCAGAACCCAGCCCAGAGGGGACCCGCCACAGGACTGGGACACTTACTGGGCCACTGAATGAGAGGAACAGCTTGAGGGTGGCATCCTCAGAGAACGGGGGGTGCCTGGCCACCAGGTTGATGAAGCGCTTCAGGGCTCTCCTCCGGCCCTCGATGAATTCCCTGTCAGCTGAAGAAAGGTACGGGGTCATCATCACAGAGCCGGCCGCACTGAGAGCCTCCGCACAGGCTCCCAAGCACCTTGGCATTGAGGTCAGCAGAATCCTGTGGCTGGCCATGGGCACCAGGCAGGCCACACTCTAGACAGAGTCTGGGGATACAGAGAAGCAACACAGCCCCACTTCGGTGTTCCTTCCCATCTTCAGAGGGTTCAGGAACTTCCAAAGAGAACTGAGATCAGTTTCAATAAAGACTATTGGGCTGAGCATGGCAGCAGAATACCAGTAATCCCGCCTCCTCAGGAGGTTGAGGCAGGACGACTGCAAGTGTGAGGCTCCCCTGGGCAACTTTAATGAGACCCTGTCTCAAAATAAAAAGGAGTCAGCACCAGTGGCACACACTTGTAATGCCAGCACTCTGGAAGACTGAGGCAGGATCAAAGGCTCAGTCCATCCTAAGCAATTTAAAGGGATTTGGTGACTACTGTCTCAAAGGGAGAGGACCTGGGGACATAGGTCAGTGGTAAGAGTGCTTGCCTAACACAGACAGACCCCTAGGTTCAATCCCCAGTACCATACAAACACAAAAAAATACTGGGATCCAGGTTTCATCTGGGTTTTTTTGTTTGTTTGTTTTGAGAAAGGTTTCGTTGTATTTTCAGAATAGACCCAAACTCCTAGGCACAAGTGATCTTTCGACCTCAGCCTCCCAGATAGCTGCCAACAGGTATCCACACTACACCTGGCTTTTGGGAATCAAGTCTGATTCCTCACCCTGATCATCTACACTGAATTTATCTACAATCCCTTTCTGGCACCTGTCTACCAACAAATAGTTGTGCTACATTGATAAAGTAACACAACTCAAGTTTCTGATTCCCTTAAAACTTCACTCTGTAACAGATCTAATTATTAACTGCTGTTATTTGGAGGAAGTATTTTCACTTCTAGGGAAAAAATGTTTTGATGCATTAAGGATCTTCAAGTCTGACCACAATGGTCAGAAACGGTCTTTAAAATATTGTAAGTTATTGAAAAACACAGTCAGATGAAGCCATCTTCCTCCTCAAGACCTGCAGCTGTGGCTGAGTAGAGGCTGCACTTGGGCCCCAGGTTGAGAAGGGTGCCTGTGATTAACCCGTTGACTACAATGTGAGGTGCGAACACCGTCACTTGGCCCCATCCAGCCTCTGCTCTCACCACTCAGCATTCCTTGTACTGTCACCATAAAGGCCACAACAGGCTGCCCCACAGTGCACAGGTGGGGTAGGAAAAACACCTTGTTAGCAGACACTGACTTACTCCGTGGCCAGCAAGAATGTTATGTCCATAGTGAGAGATTCCAGAAACACCAGAAATTGGACCACAGAGAATTCTCAAGTTTTGCCCCCTCAAGCACACAGCTGCTTCAGGGTGGCTGGAAAACGGCAGAAAGTAAGCTGGCTGGCTCTGGGCACTGGTCTGCCTCAGAGTTTATTCAGATTTAGAGCTACGTGGGAAAATCAGTGAGATCCCTGTGCTCTGGAACCCCATGAGGAACAGGCCAGTCTAGGTCTCTGCAGGCTGCCTGCGACCTCTCACCTTCCTAGTGTAATCCAGAGCCACAAGGAACATGTGGCAGCCAACTGCACAGTTTCGCCTCCTGTAAGACAGAGCTGGATTCCCACTCACATCTGCACGTGTCCTCTTCCAGTTTGCCCAGTGCAGCCCAGCACCCATTTCTTGGGGTCTCATGACTTTGTGAAAGCACAAGAAACCAACTGTGATCACACAAGCAAATGGGTCCTGGCCACCGTCTAGGAGCTCTAGTGGGCCTGGTCCTGTGCCTGTGGAGACCAGGTTCCTTCTCTCACACTGGGACAAAGAGGGCCTCTGTACAAGTCATCTGTCCAGCCAGAAAGCACTGGTGGGCCAAGAAAGACAGGGCCTCAGTCACAGCAGTGATCTCATGATGGCCAAGGGGCTCATAGGCACTGCGGCCTTGCAGCCAGCTCTGTTCAGGAGTCAGGGCAAGAGTGATGTCCTATCTACACTGGGGTCCATCACTGCGCCATCTGAGTGGGCAGCTCAGCCCCGCCCATACCTGGGCCCCACAAACCTGCTTACCTCCCAGCATCCTCTTGGGCGGAAGGGCTGGCACCATGCGATACGGGAACCTGTGCAGCAGCATTTCGTGGAAGACCACAAAGTCATTGTACCGACGGCACACGGAGGTCTTGAAGCGCTGTGAGGAGAGGGTCGGTGCTCGGCCTGGGTATCACAGCCTTTTAGCATCCCCTGCCCTACCCCCTGCCACTCCACAGCACCCACGTGACTTCCTCTGTCCCCCAGTTTCTCATCCCCTCTCACCAGGCCTTCACCAGAAGGACGATTCTTAGAATCCCTTCACTTCCAACATACAACTGCTAATGTCTGGGTGACTCTGTCCTGACAAGACTCCCCAGGGAGCTGTCCCTCTCAGATGGGCCCTGCCCTTCCCTCCAAGGCCAGCAGAACAGTTGTGCATTCTCTGCTTCACTGATGACAGCACCAGCATTACTCCCAACTGCCGAACATGTGAGCAACCATGCAAGCACAAATTGAGCCTGAATGCCTGTAACCCCACACTCTGGAAGGCTGAGACAGGAGGATTCCCAGTTTGTCTTATCCTGGACAACCTAGCAACTTAGTGAGACTCTGTTTCAATATAAAAAAATAAAAAGTGCTGACATGTACCTTATTGTGAGGGCCCTCAGTCTAATCCCCAATACTGACACCAAAAAAAAAAAAAAAAAAAAAAAAATCAACAGGGATACAAAATATGAAGGTGGGCATACCCACCTCTACCCAGGCCACACCCACATCACTCCTGCCTGTGTTCAAAACTTACTCGAAACAAGCAGGGCACACACAGATGAAACCTGCACCCAGCAGGCTGTCCAGAGGTCCCTGAGGGCAGGTGGAGAGTCCACTCAGGTGGCCTAGGCACAATGTCCTCCTCCTACACATGCGCACCAGGTAATGACCTACTTCAGGAGTGAGCTAGGACAAAGGCCGGCTCAGAGGAAAGCAGCAGCCTCCCACTCTCAGGAGGCCAGGCCTAGAAGCAAGCGCTGGTATTCTCCACCTCGGACCCCACACCAGCTTGGTCCCCAGGCCCCATCTGCCAGGAGAAGGTGAAAACTGAATGACGTCTGACAGTTGTGTCATCCCTGGGTGGTCTTGATGTGAGTTCTCCCAAACTCCACCTCCCTCTCTTGGCAGCAGCACCCCCAAGCCTTAGAATGGTTTAAGCATAGGATCTACCCCACTCTGAAGCCAGAGATGATGTTGCACACCTGTAATCCCAGCACTATGGGAGGCTGAGGCAGAAGGATCACAATTCCAGCCTGGGTAATCTAATGATTTATTGAGACCTTATCTCAAAATTCAAAAAGGGGCAGGGTATATAGCTCAGTGTGAAGGCCCTAAATTCAATCCCCAGTAGTACAAAAGAAAGACAGCCAAGCATGGTGGCACATGCCTATAATCCCAGCATTCAGGAGGCTGAGGCAGGAGGACCACTGTGAGTTCAAGGCCAGCTTATACAACATAGTGAATTCAAGCACAGTCTGAACTACATAGCAAGACTCTGTCTCAAAAAAACAAAAGACTCCAAAGACACAGGATCTTGAGGTACAATGGAGGCAAGGTGGACCAGACTATATGGCAGGGCTGGTGCTGGCCAAACCCAGATGTAGACATTCAAATTTTGTACAGCAGACTGACAGTGCCCCAGGGCATGGGCCATACCTGTGAGCCAGAGGCACAGACCCTCCCTCTCTTCCCAACACCCAAGCCAGTTCCTGTCCCCCACCCCCACAGCTGCACACAGCTGGCCGCTACCTGGCTGGACACCTCATACTCCACGTGCTTCAGGAAGAGCCCCTTCTTCTCAGGAATGAGCTCCACCTGCACACTGTCTCTGGCCAGCAGCTCCTGCAGAGTGAAGGACAGCAGCAACGGGTTGCCCTGCGGCATCTGCATTGACCTGGGGACCAGGTCCTCCCACTCGATGACGGGGAGTGCTGGCGAGCCTGTAGGAGAGAAGACACATGCCTGGTAAAGGCAGCTGCTTGGGACTCAGAGCCTCCCCACACCTGCACCAGCTGGGCACTGAATGCTGACCACTGCAGCCAGACCTCCCATCTGGCCAGGGACCCTCACTCACCCACCAGAGTCAGAGCCAACAGGTGTATCCCCTGCTGGAAAATTACCCACTACCCAGGAGCCTTCACCTGCTGCACATCTGCACATTTCACCTTGGCCTGACCAAGTCTAGTCTTCAACATGAGGGTCAGCAGACAACGTAAGTATTTATAGAGTATGTATGTGCAAATTAGAGTCTTCTCAGGAATGTCATCATTATGTACTATGCATGTACTATTAGAAAATGAAAACTGAAACAAAAGGACTATTTGATAGAAGAAGAGGTTCCATCAAAGGAATGTAATTTCTATATATCCCAGAGTCTTTAATTAACATGCACTATCTATTTCAAAGGCCAAATGACATATTAATCTGAAAAAAAGAGTTCCAGCACTCCGGGAAGGTGAGGAAGAAGGATCATGAGTTGGAGCCCAGGCTGGGCAACTTAGCATCAAGATCCTGCCTAAAAAAAAAAAAAGAAAGAAAGAAAGAAAGAAAGAAAGAAATTTTTTTTTTGTACCAGGAATTGAACTCAGGACCTTACAGGGTTTTGTTTTTTGTCTTTTGTCTTTTTGAGACAGGGTCTCACTCTGCAGTTCAGGCTGGCCCTGAGCTCACTTTGTAGCTCAGGCTGGTCTTGAACTTGCAACAATTCTCCTGCCTCAGCCTCCCAAGTGCTAGGATTACAGGCATGCACCAGACTTTGCCCTTTAAAAATGACTAGTGATATAGCTCAGCACAAAGGCCTTGGATTAAATCTCCAGTATTGGAGGGAGAAAAAAAAAACCCCACTCCCTATATGCTTACAGCTGTGATCAATACAAACTGAAAGCTATTAATATAGCCTCTTATGGAGACATCACTCCCACTTCATTCAGAAAGCACAAAGCAGGGAAACACCAGAGAGATTCGCTGCCTAACGAACGGCTTGCCACAAGATAAAACAAGCAGGACTGGGGATGAAGCTCAGTGACTCAACATACCCGTGTGGCAAGTGTGAGGCCCTGAGTTCCATTCCTGGTACCAAAACAAATAAAAGATAAAACAAGCACACAAGGAAATGAAGTTTAAAACTCAGTTTGGCTTTCAGTACAGGTAAAAACTGAAATAGGAAAAATGTTCTTGCTAGGTATAATGGTGATGAGCATCTGTATTCCCAGCACCCAGAGAGGCTGGGGCAAGAAGATCACAAGTTTACCCCAAGCCTGGGCGACTTGGTGAAACCTTGTGTCAAAATACAAAATTCAAAAAAGTGATTAGAGCTGTCACTCAGTGCAAAAGCCCTGGGTTCATTGTGTATTATTACTAACAAAACAAAACAAACACAAAATCATTGTTTGCAGGTAAAATGAACCCAGGGAAGGGGAGAAGGGAGTACTCTGGTCGGCACTGCTGTGAGCACAGCATGCAAGAAGTTCCCTTCTCCATTCCCCAGATGGTCTGCAGTGGTCGTCTGGTACCACTGGTTCTTAGAGCAGCTCTTCCACGTGGGGCTGGCAGTGTTCTAAAGCACATGGTGCCTGGTCCCGTGCAAATGACTCGGCACTGCACAGTTCACAAGGCAGCTGCATTACCTGCCCTTAAGGCTTAAGAAGAAAATGAACGGAAGATGCAAGGGGAACACCAGAGCCCTCATGAGGCCCCGCTGCAGCCTCCAGTCATGCTCTGTGCAACTGTGTTTCCAGCAGGCCAGTGCAAGGGCACAGGCACCTGCTTCTGCTAGAATCTGAATCCACAAGACACCATGGCAGAGCAGTTCACACACACAGCTCGTGCGGCACATGTGCATGTGTATACCTCTGCACATGAGGCAGAGGTATTTCTCGGGACACCCATGTATGCATATAGGGGCTACATAATGAATTCAAGACTCAATGATGGTACATAGCAAAACCTGATCAAGAAAAGGAGGGGGAGTGAAAGCAAGAAAGAAAAACGGGACGGAAGGAAAAAAGGAAAGGGGGAAGGAATAAAGAAGGCAGGCAAGCAAGAGAGAGCAGTAACAAGCAAGTGGGCATCTCTGGAACAAAGCAGAGCACTTTTTCTCTGAAGCACAGTATACGAGTATGGGAAACCAGGATATAATGAAATCTGAAAGTAGGAACTCACAGCACACCCCTGTAATCTCAGCATCCTGGGAAGCTGAAGCGAGAGTCACAAGTCCGCACTCAGCCCACACAACTTAGTGACTCAAAATAAAAATAAGTAAACAATGGACTGGGATTGTGCTCAGTGCAAAAGCGCTGAATTCAACAGCCTGTACCACAAAAAAAAACGGAAAAAGTAGTTTTACCTCAAAATATCTGCAAGTCATTTATCTCATCAGGGATTTATATCAAGAAGACAAACAACTCTTACAACTCACCTTTAAAAATGAAAACCGGGCTGGGGATTTAGCTGAGTGGCACAAGCACCCGCTGGCAAGTGCAAGGTTGTCAGTTCAATCCCTGGTACCACACACACACACACACACACACACAAACAAAACTAAAAATGAAAATCAATTTTGCAATGGGAAAAGGACTGTAAGTCTTCCAAAATGTACACGGGTCAAGAAAGCACAGGCAGAGATGTCCAGTGCCATTGTCCATCAGCAAAACACACATCCAGTGGCAGCAAGACACCACCAGTAGGACGGCACTAATGGGGAATTTTAAGACAATAACAAGACATGGCAAGGTTAAGGAAGACCCTCATGCTTGTTGGCAGATGTGGCAATGGTGTGTTATTGCCTTCAAAAACAACCTGAGGCCAGCCAGGGTTACACAGGCAAGTTTGAAGCCAGCCTGCACTACATAGTGAGGCCTTGCCTAAAAAGAAAGAAAGGAAACACTACCCATGTGTTCACTTGATCGGTGTTCAGAATAGTCAGAAAGCAGAAAAAACAAAACCAAATAAATAAAACATGATGCTTCCATCCAATGGCATGCTGCTCGGCCTGAAAAGGAGCCAAGGAGCATCATACCACCACGTGGATGAACCTGAAAAATGTGAAGGTAAGAAGGAAAAGGGCATAAAAGACCAAGGTGGTACACACTTGTAATTCCAGCACACTGGGAGGCTGAGACAGGAGGATCACATGTGTGAGCAGTTTAGTGATTGTTTTGAGACTGTCTCTCATAATAAAAAGGGCTAGGGATGTAGCTCAGTGAAAAGCCCTGGGTTCAAGGTTCAATTTCCAATGCTGCCCCAAACACACACATGTGCATACATAAAGATCATGGACAGGATGATCCCATCTATATGAAATATCCAGAAAAGGCAAATCTATAAAAATAAGAAGGAAATTACTGCTTGCCTGGGGCTGGGAGACGGGAATGGAGAGTTCCTGCTAAGGAGTAAGGGAGTTCTTTCTAGAATGATAAATGCTCCAAAGTTCATTATGGTGATGCTAGCACCACTCTGAATACAAAGAATACTAAAAATATGATGAATATACTAAAAGGACTGTACTGTAAACTTCACATGGGTGACTTGCATAGCGTGTAAGATAGTGTCTATATAAAGCTTTAAAAACACTCCAGGGCCTGGGGATTTAGCTCAGCGGCATAAGCACCTGTCTTGCAAGCAAGCAGTCGTGAGTTCGATCCCCGGTACCGATAAAAACGAAAAAGACAAAAAAAAAACACTCCAGGCTTGGTGGCACACACCTGTAATCCCAGCGCTCAAGAGGCTGAGGCAGGAGTATTGCTGTGAATTCAAGGCCAGCCCAGGGACCTTGTCTTCAAAAATAAAACAAAACACAAAGCAGATAACATCAACAAGAAGGGCAGAATGAGGCTCCAACCACAGCAACAACATGGCATGACTGACCCTAAGAATTCCAAAATTGACACAAGCCACACAGCAATGCTGGGCACACTTTCTGATGTCACTAACTGAAAAAAGGCCTATTGAAAGAGGGCAGGCCCTGAACCCAACTGAACTGGAGTCTACATGCTAAGAGGACAGCACTTGTAGGAGGGTCAGCCTCCCAAATTGCTGGGATTATAGGCATCTATCACCACAACCAGCCAGAAAATTATTAGCAACTACTTTGAAAACCTGTACTCAAAAAAAAACTGAAGAATTCAGAAGGAATGCATAGGTTCCCAGATAGATATCCATGAAGATATAAAAGCCCTGAATAACCCAATAATAGGCAATGAAACAGAAACAATAATAAAACCTACTAACAAAAGCCTAGGCTGTAATGGATTCATTGCTGAATTCCACAAGAACTTCGGAGAAGATCTAATACCACCACTCCTCAAATTCTTTAATGAACTTGAAAGGGAAAAAGTAGAGTATTCCCAAAGTCATTCCTGGGAAGCAAACATTACCTTAATTCCAAAACCAGACAAGGATCCAACCAAAGAAGAGAACTATAGGCCAATCCCTTTAACGAACATAGGGGTAAAAATCCTCAACAAGATCCTGCTAACAGAATGCAACAAATCATCGAAAAGATCACATATGATAAACAACATCCCAGGGATGCAAGGATGGTTCAACATACACGAAGTAATAATGTAGTAAGTACATCAGTGTTACAGTTTGGGTCCAGATGACCCCTCAAAGCCTCCTATAGTCATAGGTGGGGCTTTTTCAGATGTGTGATGCTGAGATTAAGGTTGTGTGATTACTGGATCAGGCGACTGATTGGTTTTGGCGCCACTCTAATCCCAGTAACCTAGATACAATATAAAAGGGGCAGAAAGACACTATTAAGGCCCCCATCTTCTGCCCATGAACTATTTTTCCTCTGCAATGCCTGTCTGCTGTGCCATGCTGCCTTGGAGCCAGCCCATTATGGACTGAAACCTCTACAAACTGTGAGCTAAATAAACCTTTCCTCCTTGAGTATTGGGTATTTTGTCTTAGGCACCAAGAAAAAAGTTAACTAAGA